CGGCCACGCCTGTGTCCTATCCTCAAGCCAAAAATTATATCTAGCAGGAACAAGTCTCCACTCCGAGACTATTCCCAACGATCCTGTTCGTCTGCACTCTGGAGCTAGCCCTCGCTTAGAGGAAAGGACACAGAGGGGCAACCAAATGTCGCCTTCCCCATCCCAACTACAATAGCGCCATTCAGTTATGTTCAGCACGTCACCGGAGGATTTAAGCAGGGCATTGCCTGTCACTAGGGAAACGCTTGGCAAAATACAACCCTCCCTGACTACTATGTTCCCGACTTTTTCTGCCTCTTACCACTTCTTCCCGAATGTTCAACTAGGCGAAGGGGAGGGAGGGGTCGCATGGCCAGCCACAACGTTTTTTCACAGCGAAAAGCATATGCGAAACTCCCCCTCTCCTAGCGTAAGCATTCCATTTATGGATAGCGCGCGTGAAACAGGAAAAACCAGCTGAAAAACTCTCCTAGGTCAGTTACAACTTCTCTTCCCCTCCCCTGCCCCAACCCCCTCCCAAGCGCGCAGCTTGCCCTCTTGCCCAGAATAATGGCGAGATCTGTGCTTAATACGTCAGTAACTTACACGAATGTAGTCAATGACGCTAACGTAGACGAATACGTAGAGAATGTCGACCGGCACGGAACTTGCCCTTTGATCTCGCAATTTTTTGAAGATGTCGACCGTCTGAAGAATTGTAGTACGGACGGTAGTGCTGGGAGATCTGTTGAGTTTTACGAAAAACGCTACGCTCACATCTACTGGTTTTCCAGCGAAACAGTTTCCGCAAAATCACATCAATCATTATGATGCACCCTGTTCTACCGATGCCGGCCGAGCAATGCATCACTATAGGACCACAGTCGAGCTTGTCAGCCTAAATGTAGCATTACTTTTTTGAGTGTATTACAGAAAGATCACAGTCATAGCGCCTAGGGGAGCGCTCACTGGAACGCGATCCCCTCCAAGGCGGCAAACGCCAGACATAATCTTACTGAAGCCCGATTACTTTGCATGTCTTTCCCTTCTCGTTTTACTCCTCGAGCAAATAGCTAGGCTAGCTGACTTTCTGGAGCCAGGGCAGCCCATTAAGGCTGCGTGCATGCGTTGCGGCCACGTTGGAGTCCACCAGCGTCTACCAGCCTCCACCAGCGACCACTAGCATTCCGAGCGTCCTCCAGCGTCAGCGACTAGGAAAGTATAGATGTCGATCTAGCGTCTGCCAGCGTCTATCAGCGTCCAGCGACCGGGAGTAGAGAGTATGGGGAAGTAGGAGGGTAGCAAACAGCTGGATTAGGCGTCGTGAAATTGCGGCGTGTGCAACCGCACCGTACAACTACACTACACCGTACATTAAATTGCATAATTCTAGCAGTTGTGCGGTGCGGTTGCACACGCCGCAATTTCACGACGCCTAATCCAGCTGTTTGCTACCCTCCTACTTCCCCATACTCTCTACTCCCGGTCGCTGGTGAACGCTGTGGACGCTGTAGACGCTGACAAACGCTGGTAGACGCCGAAAGAAGCCGGCAGACGCCAGATCGATAACTATACTTTCCCAGTCGCTGACGCTGCCGAACACT